ACAGACAGACAGACAGACAGACAGATATACAGATAGATAGACAGATAGACAGACAGACAGAAAGACAGACAGACAGATAGATATATAGATTGACAGATAGACAGATAGATCGATAAATAGACAGACAGACAGACAGAGATCGGTAGATAGATAGACAGACAGATAGATAGATAGATAGATAGATAGATAGATAGATAGATAGATAGATAGATAGATAGATAGATAGATAGATAGACAGACAAATAGATAGATTGATAAATAGACAGACAGACAGACAGGCATATAGATAGATAGATAGATAGACAGACAGACAGACAGGCATATAGATAGATAGATAGATAGACAGATAGACAGACAGACAGAGATAGATAGATAGATAGACAGATAGACAGACAGACAGAGATAGATAGATAGATAGACAGATAGACAGACAGACAGAGATAGATAGATAGATAGACAGATAGACAGACAGACAGAGATAGATAGATAGATAGACAGATAGACAGACAGACAGAGATAGATAGATAGATAGACAGATAGACAGACAGACAGAGATAGATAGATAGATAGACAGATAGACAGACAGACAGAGATAGATAGATAGATAGACAGATAGACAGACAGACAGAGATAGATAGATAGATAGACAGATAGACAGACAGACAGAGATAGATAGATAGATAGACAGATAGACAGACAGACAGAGATAGATAGATAGATAGACAGATAGACAGACAGACAGAGATAGATAGATAGATAGACAGATAGACAGACAGACAGAGATAGATAGATAGATAGACAGATAGACAGACAGACAGAGATAGATAGATAGATAGACAGACAGACAGACAGACAGATAAAATAGATAGATGTAAAAAAAAAAAACAGTAAATTCCATTTACCAACATATCCAAATTATTCTCTTATCTTGATAAAACCAGCTGACAATATTAATTTAGAAAAATATTGAATAAATTAGAATAAATGTCAATTATGTGACTGCCATTAACTCAAATAATTATTAAGTATATATTATTATTATTATTTAAAAACATGTGTTAAGTTGATGTTAAAGTTATGTGAAATTATTAATTAAATTATTAATAATATGAATAATAGGAAATGTATAATACTATTAATATACAGAGAACTGTTGATAAGTCATTTATAAAAATGTATGGGATGAAAAATTTAAATGTTTAAGTTGATAAAACAGACTGTTTAGTGCTATATTAGTATTAGTAGTAGTAGTAGTATATACAGAGAACAAGTGCAAATGTTTAACAGACAGATTGTTTATTATTTATTATTATTAATAGTCGTCGTCGTCGTCGAGATTATTGTTCAGATAATAGTTGAACCTTTATTTTGAAATACCAAGTTGATTCGCTTATATCCACTTTCGATTTAAACCAGAGGTGGTTTAAACTCACCGTAACATCTTTGAACATCTTGTGAACAATTTAAAACTGCATTAGTTTAATTATACACATTTTAGCTTTCCTAAAGAGTGAAATATGATTTTAGAAATTCTCACGAATTTAGTTCCGTGTCGAAAGTGCTGCTGTAAAATCTGTGCGCTCACTGTCATTGAAGGCGCATGTCGTTCCTCTTTTCTTAAAACCCCGTGGAGTTGCGTTATACTGCAGTGCTGCTCCGTTTGTTGGAGTTGTTTAGTCTAGGTAGTTCAGTGGTCGGTTTTGTTGACTGTGAATGTGGAGTTCCGTGCAGTAATGTCAGTGTACAGACCGCTGGTGTGTTTGCTCAGACAGGCGACAGCAGCGCGCGTCTGCAGGACAGTCACCACCTGGTCACCTGTAGCAGCTGCCTTCAATGCCAGAGTCCACAGGAGACTAGACCTCTTCCACCACAATGTGGTACGTACCTGTCTGGGTCTGTCTAACTGTAACTGCTGAGTGTCCTTTATTCGAGTAAAATAGAAACGGTGTGTATTTGTCAGGGGTTGTTTGGTGTCCCAGAGCTCAGCTCTGTGGGGGGCTTTGAGGTGGTCCAGGACAGAGCCCTGCAGGAGACACAGCAGCTGGTGCAGAAAGCCTGCCACTGCCCTCCAGGAGTCCAGACCGTGGAGATATTTGACAAGCTGTCAGACAGCCTGTGCAGAGTGGCAGACATGGTAAACATGTTAAACATGACTGATTCACATTTATTTACTTATTAATAGTAGGGGATGAAAAGCAAGAGCTTTAGAAGGCTGCTCTTCTCATTTGAAATTCAAAGCTGTGACAAATGGAAGGATATAGATAGATAGATAGATAGATAGATAGATTTAGACACACACACACACACATATATATGTGTGTGTGTGTGTGTGTGTGTGTTTATTTATTATTATTATTATTATTATTATTTATTTGTTTATTTTCAAAGAAGGCTCTTATGCTCACCGAATCTGCATTTATATGATCAAAAATACAATAAAGACAGTAATATTGTGAATAATTATTACAGTTTAAAATAACTTTTCTATTTTAATATACTTTAAAATATTTATTTCCGTAATGGCTAAGATGAATTAGATAAAGATGTGCTGCGTAATCTTTTTATGGAAACTGATACATATTTTTTTTTCAGCATTCTTTGATGAATGTTCCAGTTAAAAAATGAAAAGCATTTATTTGAAATAGAATTGACCTGTGACATTATAAATGGCTCTACTGTCAATCAACTGAATGCATCCTTGCTGAATAAAAACAATAATTTATTATTATTTTTAAACATTTGAATGGTAGCACATTACATTTCAACATTGATGATGATAATAAGAAATGTTTCTTGATCACTAAATCATCAAATTAGAAGGATTTCAGAATGATCATGTGACCGTGAAGACTGACTAAATGACAAACCGATCGTTTCGTGTCTTAGGACATCAATGTGTCGTCACGAGCCGCAGGGTTTAGTTTGGATTTGTCTGTGCATGTTTTTTTTACTCTCATAGATTTAGTTACCATTGCCATGCATTATAAGACTGATAGACTGCAACAGATGGAGTTACAAATCATCAAATGTGTTCTACTGAAGAAACAAATTCACCTACATCTTGGATGCCCTGGGGGTAAGCAGATAAACATCACATTTTCATTTTTGGGTGAACTATCCCTTTAATGAAGCAAAGTCTTGCATATTCACAGAAAACAGCTTACTTCCGAGTTGAAAAATAAGGTGGATAAATTAGCCATGATAATGATGCAGATGTTGTGCATTATGCCATTCCATGCCATTTATGTCTTTATTGCGTTTATATAAGGTCTAACCACAGGCATAGTATATGAAGCTTAAAAGTTGCATCTTATTTAAATGTTTTCTTTGTAAAAAAAAAAAAAAAAAGAATGTTTTAATATTAACACACTATAATGTTTTATTCATGCAGAAGAGTGGTTGAACTATTTATGTTTGACTTCGAGATAAGTGGAATCCATCTGGATAAAAAAAAGGTCTGAACTGTTGTATTAATTATACATTCCGAGTGATCTCAGTGTAAGACACCGCTATGCATCTCACAGATTTCTTTTTCACAGAGGAAAGAGGCTGTGAACTTGAATGTGAAGCTGCTGGATCTGAGCAATCAGTTTCTCATGAGCTGCCACATGCCCAACAGAATAGAGAAGAGAGCTCTTCCTGAACACATTCACCAGCACTTCACTAAAGACGGGAATTACATTCAGATCGGAGGCCTGAATGCAGATGCGCCTGATGATCTGGTAGATCCCTTTCCTTAATTAGTAGACACTTTTTCAATGACGTTGCATAAAGATTGATTGAAATTAGGTTGATGTCAATTTTCAGGTTGCTTTGTTGTGGACTAACTGGTGTTTTTGGTCTGTGCACATATTTTTCAGGTCAGGGAAGTTGCATATAAAGTTTTCCTCTACCCAAATGAAAATGTGATGCACATACTTGAGGAACTGCTGTCCTGTAGAGATAAACTGGCTCGCTTGGTTGGTTATGAATCTTATGCACATAGAGCATTAAAAGGAACCATGGCCAAAAGCCCAGGTAGTCTTTATTCTTCTGAAATAGTCTCTCTTTCTTTTTTTATTTTAAGTTTACTCATTTTCATTTTCTACCTTTAAACTTGAAATGTGTTGTTTCTCGACAAACAGAACGGCAAGAATAACAGTTAGTTAATATTGTATAAATAACATATGTTTTATGTACATTATATTACAGTATAGGTCTGTTTCTCCACAGAGGCAGTTATGAGTTTTTTACAGCAGATCACAGACAAGCTCTCAGACAGGTTGAGTTTTCTCTCTTCAATATTTTCTCAATTGCTTTAAGCTACTGGTACATAATAATGAATATATTATGTGCAAAAGTTATAATGTTTTTTTAAGAAAGTGTAACATTTCTCTCCTGAAAGAATCTTATTCTAGCAGATGCCACTAGGTGTCACTGTCAACTATGTTATTTATGGATAACAGTGTGGCAATAATAAAGTCTAAACACTGTATTGTGTTGGTTGCTTGGATTGATAATTATATGTATATATAAAAAAACATGCATATATAACTTTTGTATAGTGTACATATTTTTATAATATAAACTGCAATGTTTATACTTGTTATGTAATATGTGAACTGAAATTTCTGTCAACTTTAGGACTGAAAGGGATTTTGGAATGATGAGGGAAATGAAGACAAAACTCAACCCCAGAAATCCTGTAAGCACTGCTCATTTATCTGCGATATTTGGATTTTCATATCATCTGATTTCAGCATGTAGAATGTTAGAAATAGACAATTTTGCAAACTTACTAATAACCTGCACATTTAAGTGAGAAATAGTCCATTGCTCTACAGAAGAATTAAACCAGGATTAAATCTTCCTCTGTAGGAGCTAATGCCATGGGACCATCCGTACTTCAGTGGTGTGATACGTGCAGAAAGGTAAGAGATCTGAGAAAAGCATGAGACCGATGAACTATACTTGAACTTTCTATTAATCAAAGAACCCTAAAGAAAATGTATCAAGGTTTCCATATAAATATTAAGCAGCTGCTGAAAAAAAAAATCAGCCTTGACATCATAGGATTAAATTACAATTGAATATGTATTCAAATACAAAAGGGTTACTTTAAACTTTAATTATTTAAAGCTTTGTGCTACATGATTTCTACATTTATTTTCACATTCTTGTAATTTCTCTTTTGTAGTCGGTGTTCTCGGTGAGGAAAATGTGTGTATTGACGTTAAGGGTTTAATAACTTGTTGTGTTTTATCTCTGCAGATTCAACATAGAGCCAAGCCTGTACAGTCCGTACTTCTCGCTGGGAGCGTGTATGGAAGGTCTGAATGGTCTTTTCACGCAGCTGTATGGTGTATCACTGCTGGCTGAGCAGCCCAGTGTGGGGGAGGTTTGGAGCGAAGATGTGCGCAAGTTGGTGAGATCACACTTTTGTACTTGAATATCAAACCCAGTGGGCTAAAATAAGAGCTCATCTTCGGGTCAAGGCAACTTCATTTCTAATGTCACTTGCCATTTTGCATTGCTCCTTCAGGCTGTGGTGCATGAAACAGAGGGACTGCTGGGATACATCTACTGTGACTTCTTCTACAGACCAGACAAACCTCACCAGGTAAAGAAGGACTCCGATAGCCCATCTACTTCTAGTGCAATTGGTTTGTCCATCTCAAATTAGTACTTGTTATGCAACATTATACAGTCATTCACTCAACCAGTTCATTCAAAAACATTGATTTATTAAGGAAAGAGACAAGTTACTATTTTTATGAGTCACTGAATCATTCACTCAACGAATTCATTCAAAAACATTGATTCATTCTGGAAAAAATTACTTAATGGGTAAGTCATTGAATCATTCACTCAAGCAAGAAATTCAAAAACACTGGTTCATTAAGGAAAGAAACAAGTTATTATCTATATGTGTGAGTCATTGAATCATTTACTCAATTCATTCAAAAACATTGATTCATTAAGGAAAGATTGCTGTCTTGTATGAGGAAGACTTTGAATAATTCACTCAAACTATTTATTTAAAAACACTGATTAGTTATGGAAAGATTACGGAAAGTATTAACTTTGTGAGAGAGTCATTGAATCATTTACTTCATTTGTTCAAAAACATTGATTCATTAATGAAAAAATACTGTCATTATGTGGGAGTCATTGAATAATTCACTCGAGCGATTTGTTCAAAAACACTTGATTTATTCAGGAATTACATTTTTTATTGCAGTCAGTCAGTTTTGATCAACCCAGTTTCTTTTGTGTGCCACTCAGGACTGCCACTTCACTATTCGTGGCGGGAGGCAGCTAGAAGATGGGCAGTATCAGCTGCCGATAGTTGTCCTGATGCTGAACCTGCCTCACCCTACACAGTCTGCTCCCACATTGCTCAGCCCGGGCATGATGGAAAATCTCTTCCATGAGATGGGCCATGCCATGCACTCCATGCTGGGACGCACCCGCTACCAGCATGTGACGGGTATGATATGATTACTACAAGAATGAGCTCAGTTTGTTCAGATGTGTGGTCTTCAGCTTTGAAATGTACCTGTAGCAGCGTAATCGCAGTGATATTGTTTCTCTCTTTAGGAACACGGTGTGTCACTGATTTTGCAGAGGTACCTTCTATTCTAATGGAATATTTTGCCACAGACTATCGTGTGATCAGTCAGTTCGCTCGCCACTATCAGACTGGACAGGTACACTCTACGCTGCACTGCAGTGTTCATGTTGGTCATGATGATCAGTATGATCATTATTTCAAAACTCATTTTGATTCAATGCAAGTCACTTTTTTCAACTACAACAAATTGGGACTGATGCTTCAAAAGTTTCAGAATGTATGAATATGATTCATACATTTTATCCCTAAGTCTTCTGAAGTAACTTTGTGTTCATTTTTGGGTGAACGGTTCATATAAATAAAAATGTGATGTGTATTTATAGTTTGATTCTGTATCATTTCTCACAGCCTTTGCCGCAAAGCATGGTGGCCCGTCTTTGTGAGTCCAAGAAGGTCTGTGGTGCAGCTGACACTCAACTTCAGGTACCAGATGTTCTCATTCAACACTGAGAAAAAATCACAATCAAATCAAAATCACAATTTTGGAGTATAAAAGACAACATAAATTACCATAAGATTCAAAGGAGAGAGAATTATTCTTTTTAAAATTGATTTGCAGGGCCATACTGCAAGTATGCACTGCTACAAAAGTATTAGCTGGTATTGATAATTACTTTATAACTAGGGCCCATAACTGATGTGATGACCAATATTATAATTTTTTTTAAATTATTATTTAATTTCACAGTGAAGATCCAGTGTTGATTGTAAAATCAGGCATGAAAACATTTTAATGAATGAATTTTAAACCATTTAAGTTATATTTCTGTACTTTTAAAACCTAACATATATAGACACTGTTAGGAAGAATCGATTTGGAAAATATATGCTCTAATATTTTCTGCTTCCCAAAATAAAAAAGCTAATATTGAACAATATATAATGTAACATATTCAGAAATGGTTTATCTAATATGTAAATGGTTCTCTTCAGGTTTTCTATGCGATCATGGATCAAGTTTATCATGGAAAACCACAAAATCGATCAACTACAGATATCATGATAGACATGCAGAAGAAGTATTATGGCCTGCCATATGTCACCAATACAGTACGTGTGTTTCATTTAAATCAAAATTTTTTCTGCCAATTTTTTGAATTTTCAAAATCGGTATAGGAAATCTTTGCTTAGACATTATATATGGTCTTAAGGATACAACACAATATTACAATGTACAATTGCACAAAAGGCTGCAAACGAACAGCGCGCATCTGAAGTTGCTGATGCATTATTTATCGGCTTTAAGATATCGGCCAAATTTTCTTATCAGGCCGATACCGATAACAGAAAAAATGAGCCGATATGGGCCGATACCGATATGGTGGCCGATATATCGTGCATCCCTACTTAGAATTATTTGTTAGTTATTAAATGCTTCCTAGAAATCAGTGTTTCATAAAAAGCACATCTCCCCATACTGTATGTAGGTGGTCTGTTGCCCTGAAATGAAGTGATCCATTGCCGTTATTGAAGTTAATGAATGTTTGGGAGTCGTTCCTTGACTAATCCTTAATAACATTTTATACTCCCGCTACTGAAGTACAAAAACACATCAACACACCAAGGTAGTTTAGTTTTGGCCCCTTTCCCGCCGTGTGGTTTTCTACATCTTTCACAGACACTGCACGGTTAAAGGATTAAAATGCTTTTTTCCGCTCTCCGGCCCTTTTCGGGGGCCTTTTCTGCAATAACAAAGCAGAGATATAATTTGAAGAAGCACTCCCTGGGGGAAAGATTTGAAACTCTTCTTTCAGAGTGCTTTTCTCAGCACTGTCGAGATGGCCGCCTGAGAGCTGGAACGATCTAAAACACATTTTATTTCAGAATGGCCTTCATAAACCGTTCATCCTGGCCTGTAATTATGTGGAGCCACTGGGAATCAGGCCTCCCCCAACTCTAAATATTCCCCTCTCTCTTTAATTGCTTCAGCCATAATGTCTTTACCATCCTCTAAATCACCCAGCTCCCCCCTTTTTATCCATTATTACTGCCTCTCACGGGAACGCAGCTAATAGTATGCGTGCGTCTTTCGTTCCTGTAGGATGCATGTTTTAGTGACTACTAAAGAACAACTGAAAGCTTTCCTCAGTCCACATATGGCTGTAAAACCCTCCGCATGTCACTCTATTGAAGAATGACAGCTCTTTTGACACATCATTTTGTTGCAGTAAAGATATAAAACCAGACAGTTTTTCAATGACGCACATGGGAACATTTTTATTGGTCCCTCCTTCCAATGTACACTAACCTTCATAAGTTTGGGGTCAGTATTTTTTTTATGCTTATGCTCACCAAGGTTGTATTTATTTCATAAAAAAAATCTGTAAAACTGTAATATTGTGAAATCATTTTGCAATTTAAAATAACTGTTTTCTATTTTAATATATTTTGAAATGTAATTGCAAAGCTGAATTTTCAGCATCATTACTCCAGTCTTCAGTGTCACATTATCCTTCAGAAATCATTCTGATATACTGATTTGGTGCTCAAGAAATATTTTCTTATTTTTGTTAATGTTGACTACAGTGCTTCTTAATATTTTTTTTCCCCAGGATTTTTTGATGTGCAATTGTGATCCAAATGTTATATACACTTTACAGTATCTGCAAAATGTTCATTATTTGAAGGGATCGTACAAAATGCATGGTATTTTTTATTTAGTACTGACCTGAATAAGATGTTTCACATAAAAGACGTTTACATATAGTCCACAAGAGAAAATAATAGTTGAATTTAGAAAAATGACCCCGTTCAAAAGTTTACTTCTGCTTGATTCTTAATACTGTGTTGTTACCTGGATGATCCTCAACAGCAAGCCAAGCAATTTGAGGTATCGTTTTATGTCTTGCACAAATGGCACAAGAGTTTGATACTAATATGAGTGATAATAGTGATGCCAGACCACTAATAAAAGATTGCGGCCAATGACGGATTATGATTCACAGAGAGAGCTGTATTTACAGTTGTTTGACTTTTGTTGACGTTGATTCGACTGATACTAGGGCATTAATAGTGTTCTGGAAGATAATGTCAGCTGTTAAAAACATGGACCAGATGGAAGTTCTTGTCCTGTTGCTAATATTTGGGAACATTCACACACAGAGTTGCATTCCTCTGGCTGCTGAGATGCATCACGGGATGCAAAGAGCAAGTCCAAAAAGCATGGTTATACCAAGTTAGATTTGGTCTTTTTTGTTAGTTCAAGGCCCTTATCTAAAGTTCTGTGAATGTGAAATTCTTATAAATGTACATTTGAAATTATCTGATGGCCAGCAGCCTGACAGGACCCATCTGCAGTGAAAATATTTCCATAACGGAATACAGATTTTAGGCGGGTGTTGATAGTCAAGTAGCTGTTCTGCTTTGCTAATGTTTAGCTTTCAGATGTTTCATTACTGCAGGAGTGCATTTGAGCTTACTGAAGTCATTAGGGGCCATATGGGATATGTCTTACTGATACTCTGGGGCAGGCTTAACTCTGTATTATACAGCAGTTTCACCTTCTCCAACCATAATGTGTCTCTCATAGTGCTGTTTACACAACCCTGGCTCTCTTCAACAACTTTGCAGAGGAACACTTAACACACACATTCTGCATCAGAACAGACTTCAGTCAGTCCAGCATGTCCCTTAGTAATCATTAGAGCCAGATGTCTTTGCGGAGTCCTTAATATCCTGTAGCATGATAGCAATGCATTTATAATGCACCTACTACAAAAGTACAGTTATATAACACGTCTTCAGGTGGTTGCAAAATTATAATGTAAATTGTGTATTTAGCGAACTGTAAAAAAACCTAAAGTCAGGTCACTTGCACTTGGTATGGAAGAGTGAACAGAATGTTGCCCCAGGCCCTGTGATAAGAGCAGATGCCCTCTATTGTATATAGCCGACTCATTGAGCTTTGTTTTGTTTGTCTTGTATATTGTTTTTTTGTTTTTTTTTGTGGTTTGTTGGTTTTGTAACTTGGTTTGTTTGTGTGTTTGTTTGTTTCTAAAATAGTTTTTGCTGCGCCGCTCACGCTCATTTAAAGTGACAGCACACTTTTGATTGACAAAATATATATGATTTCACACAAAAAAGTGCTAAAAAATGCACATAATAAGCATGTCTAGTGTGTTTTAAAAAGAATTGGAGTATGACAGACAAGAAAATGAAGAATCAAAAATATGTATAAAAGATTTACCCATTTAAAAAAAAACAAAAAAACTTGCAAACAGCACATTCTGTATCAAAGTATGACTGAAACGACATGATCGGAGCTGTTTTTGTTGTTTACCATATACTGTACATGCGAAGCCCCGTGTTAACAAACTTTAAAGACTTTCCAAGTTTATAACTGACCAACTTCTAAAAACTAAATTATAGTTGTCTTTGTAAAGAAATATGTAGCTTTGGAGCCGCTGCTGTGACGCTGTTTTGTTTGTTTCTTGGTGTGCGGTTTTGTTTCCTCGATTGTTTTTTTTTTCTTGCATTGTTTGTTTATTGTATTGTTTGTTTTTGTTGGTTTATTTGTATTGTTTACTTTGTTTGGTTTGGTTTGTTACTTGGTTGGTTTGTTTTTTTCTTAATTTGGTTTGATTTGTTACTTTGGGTTTTGCTTTTTTGTTTTCTTGGTTTGGTTTGTTTGCGTCTTGTTTTCTTTGTTTCTTGGTGTGCTGTTTTTGTTTCTTCGATTGGTTTGTTTTGTTTGCTTCTTGGTTTATTTTGTTTGCTTTTTGTTTTTTTTCCTTTGTTTCTTTCTTTTGTTGTTTTGTTTCTTGGTTTGTTTCCTGTTTGAAATGTTGTTGTGTTTTCACTTGGATGTCAGTTGTTTGTTTTAGGTTTGTTTGTGTTTTGCTTTTTGGGGGGAGGGTTTTAGTTTGTTTTGTATTAAAATAACATTGGTATGAAAATGTAGGCCTAAATGTTTATACTCACTTTTTATTTTTATTTGTCAGATACAGTAGACAGTCACTTGATTTTAGGTGGTGGGGGTTTTAGATTGCCTTAAATTTAGTCAAATTCAGGTATGTGTATCCTGCATGAGCGTCAGGGCTGTGTCAAGACAGCATGTGAGAGCCACAGAACAGAAAGAGATTCGAATGGCATCCACTTAACATTCAATGGCTCCACCACACATGTAATGACAGTGATGCAGAATGTCTTTCTTCGTTCAATAAAAACCAGACCATCTTACTTGCTGACTTTATGAACCCAGACACCCAGTTAGATTAGCTGTAGCTATAAACTGATATTATCATATACCAACAGGTTTGTTGCCCCTATTTACTGTCATATCAAGCGTAGTGTGCTCTGTTCATTTCCTGCAGGGATAATGGTAACAGCGGGTGTCTAAGCACGTCTTCATCCCTCAGTGATGCGTTTGAACTACTGAGCTCTTTCGACACAAGTCTAGCCTGTGTTTTAATAGCAAAATATTTCCCCCAACTTGCACCCACCCAAAACATTATCAGTCTCTTTCATTTAGCTCAGAGTAAAGTAGCCATGGGAATAGGCTTTGCACCATTTGTGCTCTGGGAATGTAAATATTTAGTGATGAATATGGGCCTGAAGGCATTGTGTGGCAATAACTTGACTCTTCCATTTAGTTGGGTCACAGTTGCAGCTGAGAAATTAAATGTTAGCATCAGCATGTTTCCAGGTTAGGAAATAACTTGGCAAGGGTTTACAGAGATGTTATAGGAATATTCCTACGGCAGCTTGTGATTAGTTCACCTGCACCTGTCTCTGCAGGCCTGGCAGCTGAGGTTCAGTCATCTTGTCGGCTATGGGGCGAAGTACTACTCATACCTGATGTCACGGGCGGTGGCCTCCATGGTGTGGAAGCAGTGTTTCTATAAAGACCCCCTCAACAGGTTTGTGAAAGACACATGCATTAGTTGTAATGCTACTACATTGTTTTTTTCCCCCTAAAGTTTGAACACTCTTAACCCTCTGGTGTTGTTCAGTCAATGGTATGAAACTTGGTAAAAGTTTTGGCACTTGCTATCTGAACACAAGAAGAAAACAAATAATGGACATGATTTGAAATGGTTAAATGGTCCTGAATAATAATGACACTTTTACTGTTAAAAAATGACCGCATTGGAAATGAATGGGTAAGAAAAGATGCTCTCTGGATGACAAATTTCCCAGCACTGGGATTGAAAAAAAATGTTAATATTAGCTGTTAATGCAGTTATTGAACATAATTAAAACTGCAACTGAAATTTCTACATTAGTGTGTTCACTTCCATATTTTCTGATTCCTTAGCTACTTGTATTTTTCACTGTTAACTTTCTGGTTCAGAGGGGTTCTCCTTAGTGCACCCCGTGCCCCCTCCTCTGTGCCGGACCGCAGTGGAACAAGAGCCACCCTAGAGAGAGTCTGTAGCCTGGGCTGTTTTTATCTGCCGGGCTCTGAGCTGGCCGGATCCCAGGCCTCTGGTGCTGAAAAGTCCAGGCTGTATTAGATGGCATAGCAGAGAGAGGAAAGTGACGGACTGACGGCCATGCTGACTGAAGCCCTGTGTTCTCCAGCCATGGGCGGCACAGAGGCGTCTTTCATGGCCCTCAGCTTTCCCAGGGACCTCTATTTTAGTGCTGAAGGACAGACTGAAAGAACAATAGCTGACTCGAGCACCTGGGCTGGCATATGTTTTAGCACTGTAGCACACAGATGGTGACATGCATGAGTTTTAGATAGAGGATCACAGGAGGGTCAGGTTCACCTTAGTTTCAAACATTCCTTAATAGGAAAAAATTACATTCATATTCATCAAAAATGTATCACAAAGAAAGGCAGATCTTATAAATAACATCACAAATGCTGGATTAGCATTTCCTGAAAATACCAGTAGTAGAAGGGCAGCAAAAAAAAAATGTTTTAGCTAAGTTAATATTTATGTTATGGTTGTGCATAAATGCATAAATGCCTGAGAGGAGCTTAATCGTTGCCATGCTGCTTAGTACGTGTCTTGTTTTCAGTCAGCTGCTCACAAGAATCAACACGTTGACATAGTATTGTGTAAAGGCAGTTATAAATGAAAGGGGTCATGAACTGAGAAATCAAAATTCCCTTGATCTTTTGACATATAAGAGGTAATTGTACAATAAAAACATCCTGTAAGTCTCAGAACTCTCAACTTTCTCATTAGTCTACACTGTAAAAAATAATTGCGATTTTAACAGTAAAAGACTGTAAAAATGCTACAGTAAAAACCTGCTAACTGGTTAACAGTAAGTTTCCATACTATATTCGGTGAATACATGTAATTACATTTAATGTAATTTTACAGTAAAATACTGTTAAATACGGTTTTTGAAAGTGAAAAAAAAGTCATTGTATAATTTACAGTGACAAACTATAAATTGACACTCCCAGAATTCCCTGCATGACACTTAATATTTGATGTTTTTTTGTTGAAATACCATGTTTCTTCTTAGTTTTTTCTTATCAGTTGTGTACGTTAGGGTTTAATCTTACATCTAATGTTGTTAAATTAATTTTTATTGCATTATTTCAGTATCAAGTGCGTCACCAGGATGGGGTTTAGTGTTTGTGTGAATGGCACTGTGCACCTTCTATATATAAGTATTACCCTCCTCAGCTCGTATAGAAAAGCTGTTTGTGATGAGCTTTGGTTCATCATGTGACTTTCTCATCACCACCAGTTTTTGGTGGTTATCAGTGCATTACAATGGTTCAAAACAGATATTAACACTTCAATATGTTGGTTTATTAACATTACATCAGTTAATGAAATATGTTGTGAATTTAAGTTAAGTCTGTAAAACCTAAAATGTTGCTACCATATTTATTACGGTGAAGTTCTGGCAACCACAGCTGCCGGTATTTTACCGTAAAAGTCAAAAAAAAAATGTACAGTGTAAAAACGGCTTATATTGAAGCCAGTCTGCCAAAATGACAGGTTGTGGAATGTGCCATTTTATGACGTAATAGTGGGTAAATAACGAGAGAGGCAAACGCAGGTCTACCCAGAAACCAAACGATAAAGATGGCTCCGAAGACAAGAAGAAGCGCTGCAGTGCCAAGTTGTGAAAAAACACAGTCTTTGCATCGCCTTCCTTCTGATCCTAACATTAGGAAAGAGTGAATTTTATTTTTAATGAAGTTCCAGATCGTATCAATAAGAACTTGGTCCTTTGTTAACTTAATTTTACCGCGGATCATTTTCAAACAAATCACAATCCGACGCAGGATTTTCAGAAAGATTGAAACTAAAAGACGATGCTGTACAGACTATATTGGATCTGACAGTAATGTCACACCACACAAGTGTGAATAACTGTTTTTATTATGTGGTCACTAGTGTTTTGTCTGCTTATTGCAGATTGTTTGATATAGGTACTGAGTATTTATGCATTTTTAACCTAAATCACAGCAGCGTCCATCTATGAAGTGTGAAGGCTGTAGGCTGTCAAACATACACAACTGTTATCCAATCATAGCAGTGGGCTTTACTTCCGAGTCGCCTATTCAAACAGAGCATTTCAACGAAGGGATCAAAACAGGACAGAAAGTAGCCTATTACTTCTAAATTGTTTTGTAATGTAAAAATCTTGCACAGACAGCAAGATGAATCTCAATTCAATATGCACATTTTATGATGACGTCATTGCTGTGGGGTTTTGAATGCTGAGCATTTTATTACTGTAAATCAATGGGAGGTTTATACATTTCTTCAAGTACGTTTGCCAAAAACAAATACAAAAAAAATCACTATCCACTATTATATTTAATATATTAAATAAGCATTACATTAGCAATGTAAAATTGTACAAATTAGCTATGTAAATGTACAAACAGTTAGATATGATCATCTCAAATCATGCTTCAGAACATTATATACGAAATATGTTTATTTTTCAACTTTTTTCTGCCATAGAATAAACTAATTAAGAAAGTAATTATGACTTATCTCACAGTTCGGCAAGAGGGTCTAGCTGCAGCCTCGCACTTGCACTCTCAGACATGCATTCTCATGTTAAGTGTTTGTTTTTCTACAGGAGGAAAATGCTTAACGAGAGACTTTGTGCATTGCGTTCATATTCTGCTGTTCTGTGGCCACGGATTTGCGGGTCTTGTCTTTTTCTTGCAGGACCCTGTATGTTATGGTACTAAATTAGTTTTAATCGTTTAATCACCCACACAGCGTCTTGTCTCCATTGGCAACACGCACGATTTGTCGAGTGCAAGTGGCGATTGCAAGTGACATTGTAATTTAGTTTCTTTTTTCTTGTCTTCACCACCTGGCTACTGTTGTAAAATGTTGAGAGATTCAAACAAAAAGTAATAAAAAAATAGAACAAAATAAAAAAATAAAGCCTGCAAGTGACGTCGCTAGCGGAAGCGCAAGTGTCTGAGAGTGCAAGTCGGAGAGTGCAAGTGCGAGGCTGCAGCCAGACCCTTCTCCAGTTCAGACATATTCTCTTGCAATTCTGAAGGAAAAAAACTTGCTTTATAAACTCTAAAACTCAGAATTGCTTTATAAACTCTGTAAGCTCAGAATTGTGAGATACAGACTCGAAATTGCAAGAAAAAGCTAGATGAAAAAGTTGCAATTACTTTTTTATATTTTTTAGGAAAAATATGCTTCCATAGAAATTCATATCCTCATAAAATAAAATTGCGAGATGCATACTAGAATTCGGAGAAAAAATAGTCAGAATTGCGTGATATAAACTGTTATAAATACTATAAATAATGTTCATGTAGATATATTATTATATTTACATGAACAATCTTTTTTCAAAGTTTTCATAGTTGAACAGATCTCAAGCCGCCACATGATTCATATGCACAGTGGCATAATCCTTGAAATTTGAGCTTTTTTTTTTTTTTGACAAAACTTTGAGACCTCCAGTTTTAATTACAGTCAGTGATGAAGTCATTTCAGCCTTCAGGTAGATCATGAGCTTACTGCTTTCAACTCGTGACACGTTTCAAATAGTTACAAACGCAGGCGCACGTCAAAGCCGTGGAGTAACCAGAAAATCTCATCATCTGCTGGGAGGGAGGCTGTAATTATCTTCTTAGTCTTTAAACATTGCTCAACCTGAGTTGAAGCAGTGTTCATAGAGACCAGGACCACTGAATCTCAGCTGTGGAAACATTGAACTCAGTTCGGTTGCATAAGACTTCGTATAGTGTTTTATGTCAAGTCCTCGCTTGACCTCTTGATAATCCTGTCCCGTTTCACATGAAACCCAAACCAGCGCTACCTGAGTCATGTTCCACCATGTCTGTGTGCCCACGTAACTGCACAAGCTCAAGGTGTGGTGCGCGGCACAGGAACCAAAGAACCGCGTTTAAACAGGGATTCATTGAAGAGAGATGAGCCGGTCTCACTTTGATGTGTCCTTAGTTTCATCATCCTCCAATCCCAGTCAGGAGCTCTTCTGACCAATCACAGAGAGCCTCCTCATGCAGCACACACAGCTGGATTGTTCAGGACTTCTTGAACTAGAAAGTCCCTTTGATTCGTAATAAAACACACACAATGCACCTGCACTGATGAATATGGCGAGTCTATCCATCCTTGCAGATGTTTGATCCTGTCAACCGTTTAATCATGATCCCACATAAAAAAAGAGGAATTATTCCTCAGTGGTAGGGTCAAACTTTAGTAGTGGGATTGTTTGTTATATGACCTTTGATCATATATAGCTTTTTTTTTCCATATTAAATGTTACTTATATTTTTGCTTTTTTAAAATGTATTATTAACTTTTTTAAACATAAAAAAATATTATATATAATGTGTAAATATGGTATTTTTCAGTGGGGTTGATAAGATTAAGACTTTTGGGGGGTGTTTTATTTATATAGACAATTTTTTAATACATTATTTGAGTATTTTTTATATATATATATATATATATAATGTGTGTGTGTAATTTTATAATACTCAAATAAGGGGAAATGAGCAGACTTCAAAGCGCCAGCAGAGAGGAATTGTAAATCGAGTGTGCACAATTTAGCAGGACGACACTGATTTAAGCTGCACTGTGTTCACTGAGCTGGGCAGCAGTAGATATCTGTCAGCTTGTGGAAGACGATATTGTCATTTTAAAATGTAGCACTGGGAAGATAAAACCTCTGCCCTTTTAGATGCTGCATCTCTGCCAGTGTAAATGCTGCTTAGATTTAAGTCAAGTCACCTTTATATATATAGCGCTTTTAACAACAGATTTAGTGCTTTTTGACGTTAACATTATTTAATGCAAAGTATATTGAAAACATGTATCTAGACAAATCATGAACAGAGGAAATCCTCCTGCTAAAGCTTGAGAGAGTGTATGTAACTGGAATTTGCCCCTCTTGATTCATGTCCAGGCATGTTGCAGAAAAGACCCTCCATCGAGGACTTCGTCAACGCCCTTGTGTCTGATCTGGACCCTGACTTTGAAACCTTCATCATGGACTCAGAGGGCTGAGGGATTTTTCATAGCAGTATAACTTTACCTTCCTCACGGTAATCAGTCTTTACAACTGGCTGAACAGTCAGTATTCATGTGTAGAGAAAAGACTGCGTTTATGAACCAAAACTGAGCGGTCTCACAGCAGTGCATTGTGGGATGTATATACTAGTGAATCTCCAAAAAACATGTCAAGAACAAAAATCAGAACTGTATGTGTTCTATTTGTTTACTTTTTGACCAAAATAAATAAAAATGATAAATGCAGAATAAATCTGATACACGACACAACATTGGTGGTACTACATCTAATAATTACTAAATTTAATCATTTAAGTATGAAATTGAACTATTAAATAAAATGTTTAATAATTTAGTACAACATTATCATTCCTGTAATTCTTTTTTAACTATATTACCAAAAATATACTGTAATGCTGAGTAAAAGTAATATTTTTACTGAATTTGGAGGGGAAATGTTTGTGAATGTTTAAATGTGTGTTCATTTAATAATTAATTATAAAAATTGTGTGTGTGAGAGAGAGATATAAAAGCGGTTTAATATTGTAAGTAATGAAACATTTTTTTTTGTCCTCAAAAAAAGAGTGATGCTAATTTACTCCTAGTGTATATCTAAAAATACAGTGCTTTGTATATTAAAGTCTGTATCATGTTTAGATAATTTGTGCATGACATTTTCATTCAGCGGTGTCCTGCAGAGTTTAGCTCCAACCCCAATTAAACACACCTGAACCAGCTAATCAAGCTCTTATAGGCATACTAGAAGCTTACCAGCAGGTGTGTTTAGGCAAGTTGGAGCTAAACCCTCCAGGACCGAGTTTGGACAGCCCTGGCATAGCCGCTCTTTAGTGTAGATGCATGTTGATTTTATCAGACGATGCTGCGATTATAAATGAGAGTGACTCCTGGTTAACATGTATTAAAAGGGGTCGTGTTTAGTCACTATTGAGTGTGGTATTTTTTGACAATATTCACTCATCATGACAGTAAAATAGGGCGTTCTAAGTCAATATACTGCAGTATTTCCTCTCTCAATCAGTAGAAAATATGGTTAATACCCGGTCATGCATGAAAAAAATAATCCCGTCATGTACCGTGAAACCGGTATAATTTTGAAAAATACCGTTATATAAATTTTTGGTCATACCGCCCAGCACTAGTATTAAGTATCATGAACTGACAGTGACCAATACTTTTACAACATTTAGCTATTCATCTTGTTTAATGTGAACAGTTAAGTTTGGGTTTGGTAAGATTTTTTAATGTTTTTTTTTTTTTTTGATAGAACTCTCTTCTGCTCACCAAGGCTTCATTTATTTGATCCAAAATACAGTAAAAAGCCGGGTTTTCAGCATCGTTACACCAGTCTTCAATGTCACATGATCCTTCAGAAATCATTTTAATATGTTGATTCAGTGCTCAAAAAACATTTATTATATTTATTATATCAATGTTAAAAACAGTTACGCCGCTCAATGTTTTTGTGAAAACTTTGATAATATAATATTAACAATACAATACAATTTTTCTGAAAGATTCTGTGATGAATAGAACGTTTAAAAGAACAACATATATTTTGTAACATTATAAATGCCTTTACCGTCACATTTGATCAATTTAATGCATCCTTGCTGAATAAAATCAATCTTACATTTTATTTATTTATTTTAAGAATAAAAATTAATACAATTATGAATCTCAATTCTTAAAATAAATAAATAAAAATCGTACCAAAAACGTTATCATTTATAATACATTGCTACAGTTGTTTCAACCCAACTTTGGGTCAAACATGGACTAACCTAACCGTTGGGTTACATTTTTACATAACATTTTTAACCCAACAGTTGGGTTAGTCCATATTTGACCCAAAGTTGGGTTGAAACAACCCAGCATTTTTTTTTTAGAGTGTACACTATTGACAAATAATATGGACCATTTTTTCACACAAAATGTCATTGTAAGTACAGTTTTATAACTTGCATGCATTTTGTGTCCTGCTAATTAAGTTAGTAAATTGATTTGACGCACGACTACATTTAACATCATTCTCTGTTGCAGAATGAGAATATTATATAAAAATTGACCAGCAAGTGCATTTTATTCGGACCAAAAAACCATCATAATTTTAACTTCTAAACTCTTCTACATGACGTTCCCAGGAGGACTGCAGCACTGATCCACAGAGAGTCACTTTGGAGGGATTAGTTGCGTTTGACCTGTAGCTTCACTCACCTTCAGTTGCAGACAGCTGTGGCTGTAGGAGCCGTGTGTTTGACCCATCCTCATCCTCAGGCTCAGCTGGGGTCAGGCCTGAGCTCTGCAGGGCTCGTTCCTCGTCCTCGTCCTCATCACACGAGGAGCATCTCTGTGTGGACTCTGAGCCGCACTGGGGGCTGTCTAAGATTGCGCCGGTCTGAACGAGAGGCGCATCATGTGCACATCCCACATCTGCCTGGCTGCTTCCCAGTGATGGATTTACCAATCTGACAAAAATATGCAAAAATAAAAAAAAATGCAGATGGGATACAAGAATGTGGCCTTTTATTTTCTCAATTTACACAATACCCAGATTGCTTGTTTAAAATAATGATACCACTCTGAATAAAATCAATCAATCACAAGCAAAGCATTTATACTTTACAATAGAGAGGGTCTCAGTCTATGGAAAATGAGAAAATGTTACATAAAAGCCAACTATCATGTTACTTTCTAAAAAAGCAGCAAAATACACAATAATGTAATTTTCACCAATAATTCTGTTAATAAACTGGAACTAAAATAATACGTGTGCTACCGTTCAAAAGTTTGTGGTCAGTAAGAAATTAATTACAATTTTATTCAACAGGGATACATTTAAATAGCCCAAAAGTGACAGTAAAGACATTTATTGTAAAAAAAAATTATATTTCAAATAAACTGTTCTTTTGAATTTTCTATTCATTAAACAATCCTGAAAAAAAAAATTATCAAGGTTTTCATACAAATATTAAACCGTTTTTAACATTGATAATAATCATAAATGTTTCATGAGCAGCAAATCAGCATATTAGAATGATTTCTGAAGGATCATGTGACACTGAAGACTGGAGTAATGATGCTGAAAATTCAGCTTTGTATCACAGGAATAAATTACATCTTAAAAAATATTATTAATTGATGAATATGAATTGAATTCATTAATTGAAATATAATTTAAACTGTAATAATTCACAATATTACTGAATTTTATTTTATTAATTAATTGAAATAATACCATCATTAATATATCATTTAAACTGTAATAATTCCCAATATTACTTTTTACTGTACTTTTGATTTAATACGCACATCTTTGGTAAGCATAAGTGACTTATTTAAAAAAAAAAAAAAAAAACTCACCAATATTTTGAACAGTAATGTTAAAAATCGATTTAATTTTGTCAGCAATTGTAAATGAATCTGCTGAATTTTTTTCAATTCAATTCAAGTTTATTTGTATTGCGCTTTCCACGATACAAATCGTTGCAAAGCAGCTTTACGGAAAATCACGTTTCTACAATATATTAAGTAGTAGCTTGTCAGTGCTGACTATGTCAAATTGATGTACATATGGCAGAAATTAGGGCTGCACGATTATGACAAAAATCATAATTGTCGATTATTCCCTTGAAATTGTCATTGCGATTATTAATTACGATTATCACAATTTACATTGAATGATGTTTATACCACTGTTTGATGCAACTGCATGCCGTATTTTTATATGAAAATAAACAAGCTGAAAACACTCGAACTGAAAAACCTTTAGTGCTTTTCTATAGTATTAAGCCTCAAATGTCAACTATATATCAGATTGGTTTCTTCTTTAAATGATAAAAAAAGTTAAAATATGAATGGTATTATAATGTTATACTAAAACTAAAACAATGGAAAAACTCTTAAGATAACATGTAGAAAGAAAAAACATATCTTAAGTGTGCAGAATAACATAAGTGGACTTTGAACGATTAATTGCCGCATTGAACGATTACGTAATTGTGGCATCCATAATTGTAATCGCGATTAGAAATTCGATTAATTGTGCAGCCCTAGCAGAAATGTACAGTAACATTCAGTTAATGACACAATCAAACAGACGATGAACACTATTAACAGCAATGATTATAATTTGACTAAAGATCTAAACCTGATCCTTTAACTTCATTTGAATGTGAATGTGTCTGGCTGAAGGACCCACCCTTCATTGAGACCGTTGTGAGAGTGAAAGGGACGAGTCTCTCGGCCGCGGCTCTGGCTCCAGGTGTCATCGCAGCACAGAGACGGGATCAGGTGCACAGGACCTGGAAAACAAAGCGCACATGAATCTAATGCCATGACAATCATCCTTCCTGTGACACTCCAGAACTGTGTGAGATTAATACAATGATCACCTGACATAATTACTGGCTAATTGACCTGTTTAGACTCGTCCAGGAGCTCCAGAGAGAACGCACAAATCCTCAACACACAGTAAGACTTCTGAAAGGTGTGTGAATGTGAAACTCACCGCAGGTCTGTCCCGATCCGTGACGACAGTGACGACAAGGCCGCTGGGAAAACTCCAGAGCTCTCCGATCCAAACAAGACAACTCGGACCCCACATAAGGACCCTCATGGGACCTCAAGGAAACTGAGACAATGACACACGAAACAACAGGAAACGACTGTTATGAAGATTCATTATTGTATTATTAGACAAAGTTTAAAATATAATATTAAACTACTTTTTTACACCCTAAATCATGGTCAAATCTATGGAAGCCTGTTTCTGCCACTGAATAAAAAATAAAAGAGGTAATTGCATCTCATTAAATTCTGAGATAATTCTGAGATTCTTTTTTTCTCAGAATTGCGTGATATAAACTCACAATTGCGAGCTATAAAGTCAGAATTGCGAGATATAAAGTCACAATTGCGAGATAAAAACTCGCAGTTCTGACTTTTTTTCGCAATTGCGAGTTTATAACTTTTTTTCTCACAATTCTGACTTTTTTTCTCAGAATTGCGTGATATAAACTCGCAATTGCGAGACAAAGTCGCAATTCTGATAAATAAAGTCAGAACTGCGAGATATAAACTCACAATTCTGACTTTCTCGCAATTGCGAGTTTATATCTCGCAATTCTGACTTTTTTCTCAGAATTGCGACTTTATGTCTCGCAATTGCGAGTTATAAAGTCAGAATTTTGAGATGTAAACTCGCAATTCTGAGAACATATCAGTCTTTTTTTCCCCCTCAAAATTGGACTTTAACTCGCAATTGCGAGTTTATATCACGCAATTCTGAGAAAAAAAGTCAGAATTGTGAGATATAAACTCGCAATTGCGAGTTATAAAGTCAGAATTTTGAGATGTAAACTCGCAATTCTGAGAACATATCAGTCTTTTTTTCCCCCTCAAAATTGGACTTTAACTCGCAATTGCGAGTTTATAGCTCACAAATCTGATGAAAAAAGCCAGAATTGCGAGAAAAAAAGTCAGAATTGCGAAAAAGTCAGAATTGCGAGGTTTTATCTCGCAATTGTGACTATATCTCGCTACTATAGCTCGTAATTGTGTTTATATCACGCAATTTTGAGAAAAAAAGTCAGAATTCTGACTATATCTCGCAATTCTGACTTTATAACTCACAATTGTGAGTTTATATTTCACAATTCTGTGAAAAAAAGTCAGAATTGTGAGATAAAAAGTCGCAATTACCTTTTTTTATTTTTTATTCAGTGATGGAAAGGGCTTCCATAAAAATCCTTGTAATGCATGACCTCATGCTTTTAAATAATAGCAGCAACAGTAACATAATAAAAGACGACAGTGTTTATTAAATTATTTATATAAATATATTATATGAATTACACTACCGTTCAAATGTTTAAGGTCAGTAAGATACTTTAATTCAGCGAGGATATTTTAAATTGATCATAAGTGACCATAAAAACCTTTACATTGTTTCAAAATATTTCTATTTCAAATAAACGCTGCTCTGTTCAAAGAAAATCATTTTTTTTAAATATATAAAAATATATTGTAGCATTTTCACAATATTAGTGTTTTTACCGTATTTTTGATCAAATAAATGCAGCCTTGATGCATAAGCGACTTCTTTCAAAAAAACATCAAACTCAAAACGTTTGAATGTGTAATTATTAATACCAATAATCAAAACTATCCACCAAGAAATATTGTTTATTTGCTGTAGGCAAATTTTATCATCGGAAATTAAGTCAGATCTGTCGGTATCATTCATTACAGTGTCAACTTTTGTATCAACATGGCAAAATTGTGAGAAAATTGTAAAAAAATATTACATTTTAATATTGACTATGCTAACCAGTTTACACAAATAATTAAAAACAGCAGTACCACTGCCATCAAATAAATGCATAAACAAAATGATAGAAAGACTCATATGCTTTCTTACACTGTTTAAAGAAGCTCCCACGTGAATTATGATTTTTACAGATATACAAAGAATTGTAGTAATTATGGATGGCATTTGGCATGTATGTAACTAACTACAAAATTATAGTTACCATGATACTGTAAATATTTGTAAGGCGTGATTACAGATACTTTAATAGCACGAATAGAGATCATTTAATAGCACAAATAATACATTTATACAATTATTCGATAAGATTTATAATCATAAACCATGTCGCTTTTACTAAAGCACTGATAAGTAATCGGGAGAAAGCAGATGGCGTGACTCACCTGGTTTCTTCTCCAGCAGTTGTCTCTTACAGTAGATGATGCACAGGATGAAGAGGGCGAGCAGGACGGTGGCCAGCGCACTGCAGATGACCGCAGCTAGAGCCATGTCTCTGGGGCTGGTCACCGCAGGCTGGACAGGTACAAAATCTACTCGCCCCATACCTGACAGATACACAGCAGAGACAGGAAGTGACGTCACTCCATTACTCACTCTCATGCAGATTATCTTCCTTCTGTGCAACACAAAAGGAGATTTCAGACAGAATGTGTGTTATGTGCTTTTACATACAAAAACAAATAGTGACCACGACCTGTCAAGCTCCAAAAAAAAAAGAACAAAATGCCACCATAAAAGTGTTGTGAACACCTATTAAGGTTCTACTATAATGCTTTTTTAAGAGCATGACAGGGTCATCCCTAATTTACTTTCATTGTATAAAAAGAGCTGCGTCGACATTCTGCTAAAGTTCTTATTGAAGAAAAATGGTTTGAACTAAATGATTACGACTAAATCAAAAAATATTAAAAAGGGCAATTATCGTTAACTAAAACAAACTATTTTTGTTCATTAAATAAAATAAAACTATAAATATTAGATTAAATTTTTTACAAAAATTAAAAATGATGCCTTTTCAAATTGAAGTACTAAATTTACTAAAATAACTGGAAATATATAAAAACTAAAACTGAAACAAATAGCAATAATAAAGGAAAGCACTTAACAAAATTGCTAAAAATTTAACTGAAAATTTTTTAAATAAAAGTTGACTCAAACATTAATAAAAACTATTATAGTATATAAATAATACTAAAATAACACTGCCCAGAAGGCTAAAGGGCCCAATCCAAGAACAAATGGGTGTGAGGTAATTTTAAACAAATCTGGCCGAAAAGAGAGTTTGTTTCTTGAGACTTCTTTTAGAGTTTGTTTCGGTGGATTGAAACAGCTTGCAGATTTTTCTTTATCACCTAAGCGCAAGCTTTCCAGAAAACTCGAGATCAGACACCGTAAAGAGATCAGAAACAGCAAACCGTTGGCAACTCATTCAAATTTCTGTTTGCCTCTGAGCAAAGAACGTAGAAGAACTTATCAGTTAGTATGTAAGGGCCTTAAAGGGTTAGTTCACCCAAAAATGAAAATTAGCCCATAAATTACTCACCCTCAAGTCATCCTAGGTGTATATTACTTCCTTCTTTCAGATGAATCCAGTTGGAGTTATATTAAAAATGGTCTTTGATCTTTCAAGTTGTTTCATGCCACTCAGCGGGTGTTGCATGCATCAGTCCAAAAGAAGTTAAATAAAATGTGCCCAT